AAATTCTTCAGATCTGCTTCAATGTGATCAATATGGAGATTTAAAAAAAATTTATCTGTGGGTGGATATTCAGTTCTTAGCTTGAATATCTATAATTTTTGTAATAACTTAGATTTCTTCATTGGGGCTATGAAATCATCTTTATTTCAAGTGGGACTCTTCCAGCTGACTCGTTTCTGCATGGAGCACAATGCAATATCATGAGACTGGTGAAATTCAAGTATGTCTCCAGAATTGTATGTCACATATTGGAAAAATCCTGAATGTCAGTGAAAATGTTGGAAAAAATGAAGAAAAAAAAGCATAATCTGCTACATCTTGACTGCTGAATCCACTCCTGGACCCATTTGCAAGAATTCACCACTTACAAGATGTAAGTGATTAACTTGTCATTTGAATTTTCCTTCACATCTGTTTTATAGTGTACTTGTAAATGAAAGCAAAACAAGTGAGGTATGTGAACCTTCATCCACTGTTTTTTACCACTTCTCAGAACTCACCTGGATGGGCATCCTGGCATGGAAAAAAGAATCCAGTCTCATTCTACCACACCTGGTCTTCTTTTGGCCACAGGCTTGCTTCTTTAAGTTGAGCAAAAATCCCTTTTCTACCCAAGTCAGTTCAATGATTCCAAAATATCTGGAAACCTAATGTAAGTCCATCAGCTACCTCATATGGTTAGAGAGATATAAATATCACTACCAGAACACCCCATCACTATTGTTAGGCATAATGTAAACAAGTTTTTAAAATAACTTCATGACATCACTGGGGAGATAATGCTCCCAATGACAGATCTCACTGATGGGCTGCAATGACAGCTCAAGCTTGAACTTTAGCATCAGCTTGAGAATAGCATTTCACTAGATGCACTCAAGTAAAATGCTCTTCTCAAGCCTGAAACCTTGAGTAAATTTAGATATCATCAATAGCAATTCCTAAGCAATGATGTTACAGTAATTCATTTCATGAGGTCAGCAGCCAATTCTTCAAGGCTTTTAGGACCCAATATTCCCATTAGAAAATGATCATAATTTTCAAAATATCTTCCATAGCCAAGGTATCACACAAGTGGGATTAGTCCACAAGACAGACTTCCAGACATATTTGTCAAAAATAAGCAGGATACATTTCTAGGTTGGTTATAGATAGAATCTGTGCCATCATGGGTCAGAATTGGACATTTCTGAAACCATTTGAGTTTACTGCTTCACCTATTTCATTGCATTCTCTTAGTGATTGGCCTTGCTCCACTTAATTGAAAATTAAAACTCACAGCATGTCCTCAAAAAGTGCAAATATGAAAAGCTTCTTGTCAATAATTGAGAGAAATCCTAACAAGTGAAGCCAGTTTCAGCATCATCCTTACAGTTTAATACTAATATCCTACATCTGGGGAATGGTAATAGAGTCCATCAGCCAAGATCTCATGCTTCCCATTACTGTTACCCAAAGGGAGACAGTAAAAGAAATACAAGGAATGAAATGAAATGAGAATTTAAATGCCTTTATTTTTAAAGATTTGTTGCATTCATGGAACCTGTGCATTTGGAATGTACAGAAGAGAGAGTACTGTTGTACTCTACAGGTAATGGTGTACTTCTAGCTCAGGATAACAAAAAGCATAACAGGATAAGATCAGGACAGTGCATCTCAGGAACACCACCAATAGGGAAAACACAGCAAAGGCCACAGAGAGGAAGACAAAAAAGATGAAGAATTCTGCAAGAGATGTTATGGCAAGGAGAAACATTTTTGCAGGATTTCACATTGCAAAGGATCATCAAAACAGACATGTACTGCATTCATGCCAAGATTCACATAATTTCAATCATGAAACATCCCATATAAAGCAATCAACAAAGAAAATTCTCAGTGGGATAAAATCTGCAGGCATACTGGCAATTCCTGTCCCAATTAGGATCATCCAGACCAATAATTATTGCTCCAAGAAAANCTTCATACTTCGCAGATGCCAGACATGTTGAACAGCCATGCCAGACAGTTGAAACTCTTTTTCTTTATCATGATCACATACATGATTCTTATAAATATGTTGAGCTAAATATCTGCAGCAAAAAATTATACCTGATGTTTGAAATTTTGCTTATAAAAATAGATCTAATGAAGTTGCTGTTAAATTTGAAGTTTGGCCTTGTGCAGGTCAGAGTAATGTGAATGATCAGCTTCTTCATGGGATGGTTGATAACTCCATGTGCCTTAATGCATTGTCATTCATCTTTTTCAATGGAGAAATAAATGGAACTACTAGATTCATTGTATGCATCTTTCCCATAAACTGGGCTTTCAAAGTGTGGCTAAGGAAGTTTAAACTTCTGAAAATATGTTTGAATGTGTTAAGGCACTGGACTATTTGAAGGGGTGTTTTTAAGTTAACACTGTAGTGATGCTTCATACCATTCACAATATCAACATTATAAATCATGAGCTCATGATAAATGCATGAGGAATTGAAGTGCTTTGTTTGAAGGGCTCCACTGTAATTATTTAAAATTTCACTCTATTAAAAAATTCCAGAAGCTAAACAAATTAACATTGAATTACAAAATTAAAGCCTAGAGATTTCAACACATATGAGCAATCTCAGACCAGATTTTCTTGTTATGGCATTCATACCAGTCGACTGCATTAATTCATGAAAATTTCCGGTATTATTTAAATAAATTTTAAAAAATTCTTCAGATCTGCTTCAATGTGATCAATATGGAGATTTAAAAAAAATCTTATCTGTGGGTGGATATTCAGTTCCTAGTTTGAATATCTATAATTTTTGTAATAACTTAATTTCTTCATCGGGGCTATGAAATCATTTTTATTTCAAGTGGGACTCTTCCAGCTGACTCGTTTCTGCATGGAGCACAATGCAATATCATGAGACTGGTGAAATTCAAGTATGTCTCCAGAAATGTATGTCACATATGGGAAAAATCCTGAATGTCAGTGAAAATGTTGGAAAAAATGAAGAAAAAAAAAGCATAATCTGCTACATCTTGACTGCTGAATCCACTCCTGGACCCATTTGTAAGAATTCACCACTTACAAGATGTAAGTGATTAACTTGTCATTTGAATTTTCCTTCACATCTGTTTTATGGTACACTTGTAAATGAAAGCAAAACAAGTGATGTATGTGAACCTTCATCCACTGTTTTTTACCACTTCTCAGAAGTCACCTGGATGGGCATCCTGGCATGGAAAAAAGAATCCAGTCTCATTCTACCACACCTGCTCTTCTTTTGGCCACAGGCTTGCTTCTTTAATCCCTTTTCTACCCAAGTCAGTTCAATGATTCCAAAATATCTGGAAACCTAATGTAAGTCCATCAGCTACCTCATATATGGTTAGAGAGATATAAATATCACTACCAGAACACCCCATCACTATTGTTAGGCATAATGTAAACAAGTTCTTAAAATAACTTCATGACCTCACTGGGGAGATAATGCTCCCAATGACAGATCTCACTGATGGGCTGCAATGACAGCTCAAGCTTGAACTTTAGCATCGGCTTGAGAATAGCATTCCACTAGACGCACTCAAGTAAAATGCTCTTCTCAAGCCTGAAACCTTGAGTAAATTTAGATATCATCAATAGCAATTCCTAAGCAATGATGTTACAGTAATTCATTTCATGAGGTCTGCAGCCAATTCTTCAAGGCTTTTAGGACCCAATATTCCCATTAGAAAATGATCATAATTTTCAAAATATCTTCCATAGCCAAGGTATCACACAAGTGGGATTAGTCCACAAGACAGACTTCCAGACATATTTGTCAAAAATAAGCAGGATACATTTCTAGGTTGGTTATAGATAGAATCTGTGCCATCATGGGTCAGAATTGGACATTTCTGAAACCATTTGAGTTTACTGCTTCACCTATTTCATTGCATTCTCTTAGTGATTGGCCTTGCTCCACTTAATTGAAAATTAAAACTCACAGCATGTCCTCAAAAAGTGCAAATATGAAAAGCTTCTTGTCAATAATTGAGAGAAATCCTAACAAGTGAAGCCAGTTTCAGCATCATCCTTACAGTTTAATACTAATATCCTACATCTGGGGAATGGTAATAGAGTCCATCAGCCAAGATCTCATGCTTCCCATTACTGTTACCCAAAGGGAGACAGTAAAAGAAATACAAGGAATGAAATGAAATGAGAATTTAAATGCCTTTATTTTTAAAGATTTGTTGCATTCATGGAACCTGTGCATTTGGAATGTACAGAAGAGAGAGTACTGTTGTACTCTACAGGTAATGGTGTACTTCTAGCTCAGGATAACAAAAAGCATAACAGGATAAGATCAGGACAGTGCATCTCAGGAACACCACCAATAGGGAAAACACAGCAAAGGCCACAGAGAGGAAGACAAAAAAGATGAAGAATTCTGCAAGAGATGTTATGGCAAGGAGAAACATTTTTGCAGGATTTCACATTGCAAAGGATCATCAAAACAGACATGTACTGCATTCATGCCAAGATTCACATAATTTCAATCATGAAACATCCCATATAAAGCAATCAACAAAGAAAATTCTCAGTGGGATAAAATCTGCAGGCATACTGGCAATTCCTGTCCCAATTAGGATCATCCAGACCAATAATTATTGCTCCAAGAAAAGCCTATATGACTAGACAGATAACAGTCATCAAAACTGGAAACCAAATTAACGCTAATTTAAAATTTGGTCATTGTACTCCTAGACAAATAATTCTGCACAATTCAATCATGTCAAGGGATGATGTTTTGAAGCAAATGCAAATCTAGGTATACACAACTCGAGGGAATTAAATCACAAGACTATGGCATATTGCCTCATCACATACTGGTAGAATTAAATCCTGCAATAAATCATGAATACCCTATATGGTGTCCCAAAAAAATGGACACATGGGTCAGCACTACTTGGATTGTCAAGACGTGATAATCCCAACAATGTATCATAAACCAGCTGTTAATTTAGCTGGAGCTAAAAAAAAGTGACTGTGAGAGAAAAGGTCTCCAATGCATACTCTAAATGCTTATGAAATGGAAAAATGACTTGAGAAAGATAAGGCCTTAACCATTCCAGGCAACATTAGAATGATTTGACAGGCCTACTTCATTACATGAGAGGAACAATATGTATCACAGCTACAGACAAGAAAGCCAGAGCATATAGCACTTTAAGGATTGTCTACGGTGTTGCAACCTGATATGATTTCTATAGGCAGAGACCTATGACTCCAAGCCCTTACTGATATACATATCAGATACTTCATGGAGGCAGGAGGAGAAATTGGCTAGCCAGGTACGCAAGTTTTCCATCAACAGCTTCTCAGCCTCCGGCCCATCAGCACCATAAGTCAGCTTTGTGATGACACCATGTCGGTTTGGCAGTGCACTGAGAAGCATCTGATTCCAAAGGAGAAAAACCCAGTCATGCAAGGAAAAATAAATGCTAGTGTGCATGCATTCAGTGCAAAAGTGACAAAATAAGAAAATCAATACCACCAAATAAAAATTACATTAAAAGAAATATCTTGCCCTCATCAGGATGATGTCAAATGGGATTACCAATGTCTATGATATAGCTTTCATTGTATTACATTGCAGGACTGCATCAATGAATAATGTCAGCTCAGTTTTAGCATGTTCCAGCAATAGGCACAAGAGACTCCACTAGATACTTGTTTGCACTAAATTTGGTGAACTGAAGGTTTCATAAGACATAAGAAGGTTTCATGTCTTCATCTAATGGTATGCATTCTCATTTTTAAGATGGGACATGTGAAAAAAAAAACACTTAATAAGACAAGCTATTTTCAATTGTAGTACAGACACACCCAAACACTATCCCTCGGGTCAGAATGGCCCTATCAGGTCTGCAGAAGGCACTAATCTTTACATGCTGAGCATTTTCATATTTAAACTGAGCATGTAAGTGGAAAAACATAAATTTTGCCATATTCAAAGAGCTGTTCAAATATGGAAACATTCATATTTTTCCACTCACATGGTCTGTTCGAATATGGAAACATTTGGAGTGTAAAGGTTAAGGTCCTAGGCAAACACAAGGGACAGGCAACCAGAAGGGTCACATTTCAACAGGCAAGAGCCCATCGTCATCTGGACTTGATCCTACGCCTCCTGCGTTTGAGTGGGAAGTCCAAACCACTTGGCTAATGGACAATGCTTTAACAGTGAGTTCAAGACCTAATGCCAAAAGGCAATATAGCCTCATGTAAGTGTAACAGTGGAAAAATAAAAAGAACAAATCAAACAAGCAGACCGAAACTAGGTTTTTGACGATCCATGGATGATGCTTCTGGAGGGTCTCTGTGTATGCTCTTCGCATGATGTCTGAGATCCCATTTGACAGCATCCCAGAATCATAATCCTCAAGCAAGTAGCGGAGGAAGGTGCAGGTCAATTCCAAACCCCTGGGAACATCATCACAATGTGATACAAGCTGACTAAGGTAATGGTACATTTATATTCATGTAGAGCAGTCACATAACCAGTAAGATCAGAAAGACCTGCCTAGTTGACAAGGGCAGCTCATGGTATTCAGCAGTAGTAGATCATCAAGACAGGGCAGGCTCAAGCCTACACTAACTCCATTGATGCTCTACCACTGCTGAATGACACGAGCTGCCTAAGCTAGTTGGAGAGATCTGAATCAGGGGTAAAGAAGAAATGAGCAAACACTCATAGTGAAGTCACACTACTTTGAAAAGGATCTTAATTATAAGAAGAAACTGAAAGTATGTGGTGTCAATAAGATAATGGCCATCAGAGATGTGAGGAACCACAGGAACATAGTCAGCATATTCTAGCAGTGAATTTCATTTTCCTTCCTTTCCATGCTTCAAATTTGACTGATTTTGCAATATGGTTAACAATATGATTGAGAATGTGTGGCAGGTTGATGAGATGACTGATTATACTGTATGGCAACCTCCACATCATGAACTGCTTGAAAGCACCTTGGATGGAGTCATCATGGTACACCTCTTCTGAATCATTCCGCTTAGAACAAGCCATATTGTAAAAATCATTCAAATATGAAAAAAAAACAATAACTAAGAAAGCTATTAGAGTAGGCTAAGATCTTGTGGTCCATCACATTCCTGCTAGTCAGGGAGGGTTCATCTGATGTTGCTACCCTAAAAAGAGGCTTGAAATAGAAAATCTTTCTTATTTACATATTGCAGCGAGTAGCAGAAGATATATCTTTTCTATGCCAAGGAAAATGCTCAGGACATTTTCATGTTTTTGGATCAAATCCATTCTGAATAGTGAGAAAGCATCAGAAAGCAATTGCAAATCCCTCAGTGCAACTTGAAAATTCAACCTGATGTATCTTTTTCAAAATGACTGCTGATCATGAAATACTGTAGCTCAACTTTTTCAAAATGACACACTCATATGAAATGAGCATCCCATTCATGAGTGCCCAAGTCAAATGAAACATTGTCTGATACATGAGAAAATCATTGAACAAGATAATAATGAGAAAGCTAGTAAATAACATATAGAGTTGGGAAACCTTTTGAGCCAGAGAAGACTGGTTGTTCCTGATCCATGGACACTCCCTTCAGACTCTACAATGGCCTTCAGCGTGGAAAACTTCTCCTTGTCCTGCTCATAGTACACTTTCAGGTCCTACACATAAATATACCATTCTGCAACTTCCAAATATCATGCAGCACAAAGAAAAACAGCCGATAGCTGGAAGCATCTCCTCACCGAAATGTTTTTATTGATATCACTCCGTACCATATAGAAAATCTTGCCAAGTGCATCTGAAAATAAACATTATATCATCAATTCTTGCAACACAATTGAAGTGACTAGAACATTTTCATATAGACATAGAATTATTGCAGTACCAGAGAGTACAGTATTGGCCAAAATAATATCACTACTACAGTTTGAATATAAAATTTTAGCTTTATTCAATTTAATACCATTATTTCTGACAAACTATTATATTATACACTTGTTCACAGTTCAATAAGAACATAAACTCAGCAAATCAAATGTCAATAATGACAAGCACACCTCAATAATGTGAATGGAGACCTTTGAGTTTCAAAACTTCTTGAATATGCTGCAACAATACTTTGCTGGAAACAATGGTATGCATAATTAAATTGAAAAAAGCTAATATTTTACATGAAAACTGTAGTGGTGATAATATTTTGGCCAATACTGTATATGAAAATGTAAGAAATTAATATTTATACAATCTTAGTTTCTGCAATTTTGTGAAAATAAAAAATATAAATACACAAGCCAAACTCCAAGAGAAAAGGAGAAGCAAAGCCTCACCAATAATACTGATGATTCCAGAGGAAGCCTCAAGGAAGTCTTTGGTTGGAACTTCCCAAGTCTCTTTCACAACTGGAAAGGGATGAGGATATTCTGAGAACATGTCCCTAAAACCTCCATTCGGGTTCTCCTTCTCCACAGTCTCACTCATGATCTTGGTCTCACTCAAGGGAGAATAGAAAAATGATACTAGCAACAAATATACTTCAAGGCAGAATTCATGCTGCATGGAAGGACTCTCCTAATAGCTCACAATACTTTATCAGGATTGTATAAAACTGATGGAAACTCTACCAACAGACTTGAAAGTCTCTAGATTTTTAAAAACCAATAAGAAAATCACACCATATTGGGCAAAGTAGCCCACATGAAGCTAGTCAAGCATCACGCGGTTTTTGTCTCAATTTGCATGACAGCCATGTATCTGAAGTATTCAGGCTTGGACCATCAGTCCTACAATGCAAAATTTCAAAAATATTTTTAGTATGATGTCTTCTGATTTCTTGGTGGGATAAAATCTTGATGCTTGTATGTAATTACCAAGCAAAACTAATTCAATTATCTCTTCCGAGATAGGACAAACTTAAACACTATTATTTTCAGCCCCCCACAAGTATTAGATTATAATGCAAAAAGTTGTGTGATGAGATCAATTAGCCTTTTGGCATTTGCAGAAATCAGCCACAAGACAAAATAGAAATACAGTAATTCCAATATTCTGCCCATGCATTTTTTATACTGTAGGGGAAGCTGGTTGATGTTTCCACCCCCAGTTAAGCAGTAGGCTTAGAAGAATAAACTCATCACCTATAAGTCTCTCACTTCTTTGAAGTGTATTCACTGAATATATGCAGGAATAAAATGTAAAAAAAAAACCACAAGCTGGATGGAAGACAAATCAGATGCTAAGTTTATTTTTTCTCTGACAAATGACAGAAAGATGAGGAGTTGAGACTGCCTTGACAAAATCTTATCAAGTGCCTCAAGGCATTTTCAAATCCTCATCCTTCTCTGACCCATCCTTCTTGTAAAAATAGCAAACGTTGCATGGGGAAGGGAAACTTAAACAGCTGAGATCAATGGGAGGAACCCAGTCTCTATCGTCCAAGAGGGTCCTTCCCTTCATCCAGGCACTTTTGACCACACTCAACACACATGAGCATCAGCTCCTGGAGGCTTTCTTGACTGAACTCCTGCTTCCCAGCAAAAGAAAAAGTAGAACACCATATGCATGTCACTAATTCATCACCAAGCACCATGGCAAAAGACTTGGAGAAACATAAAAAATTTGGCACAGGTATCTGAATGACTAGGGAAAATGCATAAAAGGCAAGTGAATAATATTTGAAAAAAATGAACAGAACCCAGTCATGTAGACAACCCTCACCTTGTGGACGCTGTGTCGGGGAGAGGCAATCCAGTTGCAGATCCGGAGGGCATCACCAGATCGACCTGTCTTGCTAAGTACATCCATGAGCAAAAAGGTTGCTTGTGGGATGTACATCTGCCGCAACTGTGAATGAGCCTGAGTGGTACTATCATCTTCAACAGAACATCCCAACTTCAGCCAGGCATTTGGTCGCATGACGATACCCTTCAATTTCTCCACTGCATTCTGGTTTGAAAAATTAAGAGGTACACAAAAAGGTTCTACATTTTTAATCTACAAGTGTGCAGGAAAGAAAGAACTTTACCTTGAAGAACCAGGTCATGGACCTGTTCCAAGCTGACAGCTGCTCTTCATAATCCTTAAACTCCCTCTCATATCTGGCCTGCATAATCATATTGTTTGCAGTATCAACTCCTACAGGCTTCACTGGTTTATCCACATGGAAGTGCTTCCTCCATGCTTCATAAGCATCAAATGCTTCCTGCAAAACAATTTTAAGAATTACAGAATCATTCCTGACATCCTTAGCCAGGAGTCCTGAGGCACCTTAAAAAAAGCAATTCCACAATAATTTGAACTAAAATAGGATGTATTCACCATAGGTATGAATACCTTCTCAGAGGGCAGAACTTGCAAATATTGCATACATTCTTCTATTTGGGAGAAGAGTTTTCTTAGCAATTATTTCCCCATTACATATTACATGGTAAGCTGAGAAATACAGGAGAAGTGAAACCAAAAGGGTCCATTCTCTTTCTTCCCCTGACTTGAGTCAAAGCTGTATGATATTAGAGGCCTGTCAGCCTCTTGATGTACCAAGCTTTGCCTATCCATGAGACACTTAAAATTCCTAGCTCACTCCTAATTTCACATCTCCATCTATTACTAAAGTCACAGACATTTTTTTCTGCACATGTTCATGGAAGGGACCCAAGCCATTTCAGCATTAAAAAAATCCATTCTTACAGTACATCATGAGACAGTTTTGGGCATAGCATACTTCTACGAATCACTCCTATGCTGTCAATACCCAATGCACCCAATATGACAGGAAGGAATCTGATGGGTGTTTCACATGGATAACCTGGTGTTACACTCAAAGACTAAAACATGGCTGCACAAGATTTTACTGACACTGGAAATTTTCTGCAACAAATAGAAGCTAGATGTAAATGTTGATAATATGAAGCAGACAAGAGACCCTTTGACCATCAAGTTTTAGAGAACACAGAACCTAACCCACACTGATTTTTTTTATCACTTCCATCCCTTGAGAACATTGTGGCATTTTGGGGTCCTAATTTGAACTTTTTTTCTTTCCAAAAAGTATGGCACTACCACTTTTAACCCACATGAATATATTCAGGCCAGGGGCCTTAATATCAAAGTTTGAAAATAAGTATACTCAGGCTTGGCAGTCAAAGGGATAAGGAAAGAGGAGAATTAAAAGGATAGAGAAAAGGAAAATAGGGGACACAAACAAGGGACAGAAGGGAGAAGCTACAAAGAACAGGAACCAAAAATAACAACTGAACATAGGCACATAGGTGTAATCTTCTCAGGAACTAGCACAAGGTGGAAACTGGGGGAATATTTTCAAAGAAAAGCATGAGTGCAACAAACATCATTGCAAATAAATTTTTGGCTGAGCAAGTCAATGAATCATGTCATGAAGTTGTTAGAATTAATGATTCTACTCAGGATTCTTTATCAAACAAGTGTGAAGGTTTAACAACAAGTTGATAAATGTCACTATACACACTATTCCTGAGAGGGGTTCTGGCACTTTCCACCTATGCCAGTTTCATGGCTGGGATCTCATTGAAAGTATGTATCCATCTAAAAAAGGAGAGACACTGGAAACAAATTAAAAAAAAAGAATATACTATTTCAGGAAAGACTGAGCTTCAGATAAAACAGAAATAGATGAAGCATGAAGAAAACTACAGGAATTCATATCTTCTTAACTTACAAAATGAGAAAATATTTAAATGATTCCTTTGAGTTCAATGACTCTATTTCAATGATGGTACCAGAATGTCAGTAGAAGAAAAATGTAGAAGTTATTACTAGAGATGCAACGATATTGAATTTTGGCCGATATCCGATATACCGATAATCCCGATATTGGAAAAGAACCGATACCGATACCGATAACCGATACCGATATCTTTATATACATTTATATTTGCACATTCAGGGTAGATTTTGAACAGTGAACTATCTGATTACACTGCTTTATTTCCAGGAAATGTGTGTTTACCCCAGAATAAAGCTGCATTA